CTGTGGCTCTATTTTCAGTCAAATGAGGCAAGTCTGTAAAGTGAACACTTACACTAGAGAGGTACATACCCCTTAGAACAATCAACCAGTTGAGGCGAAAGGGCAGCATCTACCCAGGGACAAGGTTCTGAGGACAGGAAGAGAGAGGAAGCAAAGGCGGGTGGAAACGGGAAGAGTGCTGGAACACCTTGGGGATCACCACCAATGTCACAGAACAAACTGTGGATGGACAGTTGAATGGAGATCTAATTTGCTCTGGAAACTTTCACCCAAATCACAATTAGACAAAACAACAATATAAAACCAAACAAAAGAAACTACTCCATCTCATGGCAAATCCAGAAATACAATGAAAAGTAAATAAGGCTTTGGAATCGAACTTATCTCTCCTGCCATACACCTAATGAAAGCCACAATCAAGTCTTCCAAGTGTGAAACTCCAAGAGCCTTCCTCACCTTCTCACCCTAAAAATCGTAGAGGGTAAATCTCTGATGCATCTATCACTTCTAAAAGAAAACAACAAAAGGAGCAGAATGCTCAAGATGCTTTTTTTTTAAAACTAGGTGAGCATAACTATTGTTTGGTTTTTAAGATGACATTGGGAATATTTCTGGTTTAAGATTTTTAAAGATTATCTCAAGGCAATAATTTTGGAGGTTTATCCAGTCTCCATAGCACCAGAAAGTCTGGGGGTACATTAGAATTTACCATTCTGCTCAGCATTTGCCCCCTTTTGGTCAGGATTCTTCAATGGAATCTTTGATAAAAATGTGCAGTAGTTGTAGCTGGGCACCATCTAGTTTTTCTGGGTTCATGGCGAAGGAGGAAACTGCTCATGGAAGCAATTAGCTACACATTTCATTTCTTCCTCTAATCCTCAACTTTCTTTCTCTGTTTCTTTAGGCAAATAGAGGCTAATTGCTGCGCCTTGAAAGCTGTTAGGACTCCAGGTACTAAGCAACAGACCAGGAGTTTGGACCAAATATCCAAACCAAACTCCCTGCCATTGAGTCAACGCAGACTCACACTGACCCGACAGGACGGGGAAAGAACTGCCCTGTGGGTTCTGAAACTGTGACTCTGTAGGGGAGTAGAAAGTCCCATCTTTCTGCAGAGGAGAGGCTGGGGGGTTCACACCGTTGACCGTAAGGTTCGTAGCCAAACACATAACCACTATGCCACCAGGGCTTCTTAGGAGGTAGGACAGAAACACTGTTTGTTGGCCAATTAACGGGGATTTCCCATGAAACCATGGCCCTAAACCTCCAAACCAAGGAACCAAATCCCAGGAGGTCTGGGTTGAACACAGGCAGTCTAAGCAGGCACTCTGGCTTTCTGTAAAAATATTCATCACACAACATTTGCCACGTCAACATTTTACAGGTATACAACTAATTTGAAGCAATTATAATCATTGCCTCTGCAACCCTATTAATCAACGTGATTTTTTTGCCATCACAATTTACCTTCTTTGCCCTTCCCCCTCTCCCTCTTGATTCTGGTAACCACTAATAAACTCTGCTCTCTATTAATTTGCCTTTTATGGGCAGGGGTCCCTTGTATCTGTTAGGTCACCCAGGATTGATCCTTTTGTGGTCGCCTAGTTTCATTCAGCCTGAGGTTGGGAAGCTTCACCCACACTGCAGACTTCCCACCTTCGGCTGCCGGGAGTAGTAGTACTCCACTGCACAGCACCACTGTCGGATGCTGCAGTCCTCTGCTGATGGGCATTGAGTTGAGTCCAGCTATTTGCTATGGTGACTATTCGTGTACAAGCTGCAGTGAACAAGCAAGTGTGTTGGTCTCCGCTTTTAGGTCTTTTGGGTATGCACCTAGGAGTGCAATGCTTGTGTCACATGGCGGTTCTATTTTTAGTTTTTTTGAAGAAGTGTCACACTGTCTTCCAACATTCCTTTTCCTTAAGCTTCTCTTTTAATTAACCTTCTAATAAACATCCTTGAACTTTTACACCACTCATCATTCAAAGGTTAAATGTCAGGTCTTTCAAGTGATTCAAACCTGCATTGCTTCCCCCATGCCTAGGCCAGGCTCCAGTCACACTCTCACATTTGTCCTTTGCAGCACATAAGAGTCAACTAAATCATCTGGACATTTGTCACAGAATCTCTCTCTCTCTTTCCCTTGCAGATAAGGATCATGAGGCCTGAAGTGTACTTGGCTAAATGCCAAGCTCAAAACCAAACTCGAATTGGTTCCAGCTCATAGTGGGCCTTGTAGGACAGAGCAGAACTGCCTTTAGCTTTCCAATACTGGTATTCTTTATAGGAGGAGACTGCCTCATCTTTCTCCCAGGGAGCCACTGGTGGGTTCTGAACCACTGAACTTGTGATGAGCAGCTCAATTTGTAGACCATATACATCTGGGTAAATTAGGGGTTAGAAACCTTTTTCTGGAAAGGGTCAGACAGTCAATACTGTTGGCTTCATGGGCCATGCAATCCCAGTTAAACCTATTCAACTCTGCCATGCTAGCTACCTAACAGCCCTCAACAAGACGTGAATGAATGGGTATGGCTGTGCTCCAATACACCTGTATTTGGTAAAACAGGCAGTGGGCTACGGGGTAAAGGACCATCCTGCTAACCCCTCTGGTCTACATTGCCAGCACCTGGCTCCACAATTGAGTAAAACTACAAAGTGCCATGGAGGCAGGCTGTGGAAGAGGGAGGATGGGGGTTAAGGAGGGAGCAGAAGTCGAAGCAGCAGAACCTTTTGAGAGTTCCACAATTTGTGGGGCAGGGCTGGGGACAGCCTTGGGGCAGGAGGTTAAATAGAACTCTTTGCAGATTAGGACAAGGCAGGGCTGGGGAACCCAGGGGGTTAATGAAGAAGTTAGGGCATGGGCCCCAGAGCTCAGGACTGTACAGGGACTGCATGGGTGTTGAAGGAGACAGAAAGACGTCTTCTGGAGCTGAGGACAGGCGTCAAGAATGGCTGCTGTTTTGGCTGCGTGCTATCAAGTTGAGTCTGACGTATGAAGACCTTATAGCAGACAGGAGCTGGCCTTGTGGGTTCCCAAGCTGTAATCTTGTGGGAGCAAATCGCCAGGTCTTTCCTCCTGCAGACCAGCTGAGCAGGTTCAAGCCACCAACTTTTGGGCTAGCAGCTGGGTCCTTACCATTGCCCTAGTGCTCCCTCAAGGAAAGGTCTGCCATTGGGTCACTTCTGACACACGGTGACCCCATAGGACACAGTAGAACTTCCCCTGCACGTTTCTGAGGCTGTCAATCTTTACAGGAGCAAAAAGCCTCCTCTTTCTCTGGCAATCGGCTGGTGGGTTGCAACTGCAACGTGTAAGTCATTACGCAGCCAGGACTCCCATCAAGGACAGGCAGAGGGAGGAGAGAAAAGGAGAGTCTTATGTTCTTCTCTATAAAATGTGAGGGGAGGCCACATGGTGAAGAGTGGGGCCTCAGAAGGCTCCGGAAGCCCGAGCGTCTGACAGGGAGTAGTGGCAGCCAGGCAGGTCACCAGGGCTCCCAGGAAGACCAGCGCCAGACATCATTTTTCTCTCTGAGGGGAACGTGTAGAACACTTCCCGCAGAGGTGGCACCTGAGTGTTCTGTGGGTTGTGTTTCTAGCTCTGACTCAACGTGGCGTGGTGATTCACTCACGGAATCACCAGCATCGCCCGCTGTCCCTTCCTGTCGCTTCACTTTCCCATGCAGGTAGAATGGCAGGCGAGGAGGCTGTGGCCACGCCTCATACACGCAGACACACCCAACAGCAATGAGATTCCTGAGACAGCTCATGGTGGGCCTCATGCCTCAAGTCTCCGAACGTGGATCCACAGATTTAACAAAGCAAGGACCAAAAAACATGGAGTGCCTATCAACTGACAATCAGACCAAACTCACTGCCACAGAGTTCGATTCTAACTCACAGTGAACATACAGGACAGGGTAGAACTACCACTATGGGTTTCTGAGGTTGTAATTCTTTACGAGAGTAGAACGCCTCATCTTTCACCCTTGGAGCAGCTGGTGGTTTCCAACTGCTGACCTTGTGGTTAGCATCCCAGCACATAACCCACTGTGCCACCAGGCCCCTAATCACAGGAGCCTGTCATCTCAAGAGGTTGCTTTATGGCTGTTCCTCACATGCTGTCCATGGTAACTCACCAGCTATTCCTCTAGCGGGCAGATGCTTTGCAGAGAGCATCAAGGGAGAGTATCACACCCACTGCCATTGAGTTGATTCTGACTCACAGACCTGAGAGGACCGAGAACTGGCCTTGTGGATCTCTGACACTAAGTCTTTACCGGAGCAGACAGTCTCCTCTTTCTCCCTGGAGCAGCTGGTGGTTTCAAACTGCTGACCTGTGGTTATCAGCCCAATGCATCACTCACTGTGCCACCAGGGCTCCTTTACGGATGGACAGTAGAGAATAAAGGGAGGAAAATATGTGGTTGGGAGCATACCAATAAAACTATAACAGTAGTTATTTAGTTTTACGAGCCTAACATTGAATGAAAACCTATGAAACATGTCTCACATAAACGGAGATATGTGGAATCAGTCATAGAACAGACATCTCATATTTCAACATTCTTTCTTTTTTTTAAAATCCATGACCAGGGCTGGCGTGTGGGAAATAAATGGATTCGGGATCCCTTCTAGATCTTTCTGGGAAGGGCCAACATCACTGAAGAATCTTTGAGTTGACAAGCCTTTTCAGACCTCGTTTTCTTCCATCTAATTTAAAAGATATTTACTTAAACGCACACACTCAAGGGTCAACTGTAGCCTGGGAAGTAAACCACCGATGCTTGTGTGCAGGTGTGTGGGGCCTCCACGTGGCTCGCGCATCAGGAAGGAGCACGTCTCCTAAAACCTAATAACCAGTCCCGTCTTCCTCCACGCCCTTCCAGAGCCGGCAGCAACCAGCGCCCCGGGATTCTGAGTGTCAAATGGCAACGCCGAGACCTGTCTGACCTTCAGTGTACCCTTAGAGGGATAGTAAATAAATTTACTCTTACCCTATCGTTGGGTTGATGTTTGGATCAAAACTGTTTTCCACAAACCGCCACACGATACTCGATTTACCTACACCCGTATCCTGAAAGAGAACAAGACGGTCCAATAAGGGAGCGTTTACCTGGGGGCAAACACCAACAAACTCTCTGTGGCTCAAGTTTGGGATTTTAGAGTCATCAAGCATCAATCACCTTTAGAAGTTCGGGGACACAAAGGCGGCTTTCACATGAAGCTGGTAAAGAGTTGTAGCTAACTGCGGTCAAGTTGTTTTTTGACTCAAGGCAGGCAAGTCCTGGCGTGGAGAGGATGGCTGCTCAGGAGGGTTTACGGCCACCACCTTTCTCAAGCTAATGGCCAGGCTTGTAATGAGATTTGGGAAGTTTCCAATGGGCACCAGGATCTTTTGAAAACCCTCAAGTTTCAGCTTTAGTGGGAAAAGTGACAAGCCCGTTGGCTTTTTAACATGTATATGCCAACTGATGAACTCTTGAAATACTTGCAACTGGATAAATCCCAGCCCCGCCGCATTTTTGTTTAAATCAAATCAAACTAGTTGGGCTCATTTTCAACTTGGTGGAGAAAGCGCCTTCGGTTCCAAAAAGCAAGCTTTGAGATCGCAGGGTTGCCCTGACCAGACAGGAAGCGAAAACTTCAAACCGGTGCCTGGGATTTCCTGACCAGATAGCAAGTCTCTTACACTTGAGCCGCACCCTCGGGGGGCCCCACCCACGGGCACCGCGCGGGGTCCGAGACGACCCGGGATGGTTAAGGGGCCAGTGGGCTCGTCAACTGGAGGCCTGCCATCACTTTTACTTTGGGAGACGTGGCGAACGCCCCACGAGTACCTCGGAGAAGTTGCCGGGGAAACCCTTTAGGGGCGCAGTTTCATCCAGGTGCGCGGAGGGGGCCGGGGGGGCTCCTTACTCGTCGGGGCTTACAGAGTCGGGGTGCAGGGGCCTCTGGCACCTCTCTCCGGGCTCCAGGACCGGCGGGGGGCTCAGAGGGTCCCTGTCGCCGGACGACCAACTGCTGGGCGCGGCCAGGTGGGCAGGGTGGCA